GTCTCTCTCTCTGCTACCAAATCAGTTCTACTAACCCTGTTTAGCAGCATCACTTCACCTAAATCTCTTCAGTCACGGAGAAAAACACAAGGTGTGAAAACTACAACTGGAATTTCAGTTTGGTCATGTAAATAAACACACACTGTTTACTTGAAAACAGTGCAGACCGCATGCACTCAAAATCAAAAGAAAATCATTTTAAAAATAATATTATTTAACTTATGTCATGATTTAGTCAAGTGTCTTCCTGCCAGTTGAGCATTACATTGCTCTGCTTACTGTCAAACACCTGGCAACAACTAAAAGACGCACGAGTCTCCTCTGCGCAGGAAATTATTCCATACAAGCTCACATTAACATTCTTTATTTAACATCCTGCTATTTTTATGCATCTGCGCTGACGACAGCTGCAGCCGGAGGTATTATATTTTTGGGTTATCCATCCATCTGTATGTTTGTCTGGCCAACTCGTGAACACAATGTCAGGAACACTTTGAAAGAGTTTCTCCACATTTGGCACAAATGTCAAAGGTCAAGACCTCACGTCCATTCCATTCCCGTGAATTTGACTGGTTGGCGGAGGTATACAACCACAAAGTGGTAATTCTAATCAATTAAGGGTTATTTTTTAGCAACAGGAAGCTTGGCTCTAAAATCCATCCATCCATCCATCTTTGTCCGCTTCATCCGAGACCGGGTCGTGGGGGCAGTAGTCTGAGCAGAACCTCCCAGACTTCCCTCCCCCCACACACCTCCTCCAGCTCCTCAGCAGAAACCCCAAGGCGTTCCCAGGCCAGCTGGGAGACATAGTCTCTCCAACGCGTCCTGGGTCTGTCCCGAGGCCTTCTACCCGAGGGACATGCCCGGAATACCTCCCCAGGGAGGCGTCCAGGGAGCATCCTAAACAGGTGCCCAAGCCACCTCAACTGGTTCTGCTCAACATGGAGGAGCAGCAGCTCTACTCCGAGCTCCCCACGGGTGACTGAGCTCCGCACCCTATCCCTAAGGGTGCGCCTAGCCGCTCTCTGGAGGAAACTCATTTCTGTCGCTTGTATCCGTGATCTCATTCTTTCAGTCATGATCCAGAGTTCGTGTCCATAGGCAAGGGTACGAACGTAGATTGACCGGTAAATTGAGAGCTTCATCTTACGACCCGGCTCCTTCTTCACCACAACGGACCAGTACAGAGACCGCCATACTGCGGACGCAGCACCGATCTGTCTGTCAACCTGACGCTCCATTTTTCCCTCACTCGTGAACAAGACCCCGAGATACTTAAACTCTTCCACTTGAGGGAGCAGCTCGCCCCCAAACTGGAGAGGACAATCCACCTTTTTCTGATTGAGAACCATGGCCTCAGATTTGGAGGTGCCAATTCTCATCCCCATCGCTTCACACTTGGCTGCAAACCCCTCCAGTGCACGTTGTAGGTCTTGAACTGATGAAGCCAACAGAACAACATCATCCGCAATAAACAGGGATGAGATTCTGCGGCCACCAAAACAGACACCCTCCGTTCCATGGCTGTGCCTAGAAATTCTGTCCATAAAAATAACGAACAGAATTGGTGACAAAGGGCAGCCTTGGCGGAGTCCAAGAGCCTCCACCGTAAAATCAAGATCCATAAATGTCATATAAAAAAAGTCAGACTTTTCAGAGTGCATCTAAACAAATAGTCTGAATTTGAACTGATCAAACACAAAGGTACTGGCTCTATTAAACACACCATTTACAATAGGCATAGTGTACGTGGCAAAGATGCAAATGAAAAAAGCCTGAAGTAACATTTCACATGCAAGGAAACAATATCATTTTTCAGTTCTTTTATGCCAAGCCTACACCCAGAGATGCTATATAATAAGCACGCTGAAGAGTGTGACTAGCACGTAACATGGTCTAGGGTGTGTTTAAAATTTTTGTTGCATGTCCACAGAATGTCAGCACTTGGGAACTGAGAGCCATGTTGATGGCACGTTCTAAGCCAGAATGTAACAATGTAGAAAAAAAGGCAGAAATTTTTGATTCTGAGAGAATTTTGGGCGAGTTTTCACTTAAATTGCATCAGTCAAGTTCAAATGGCACTAATGTAATCCAAACTTGACCTAAAGTAACCTCTTTCATTGGTGTCACGCACCACATGTATAAATTAAGGTGCGGCTTTGCTATATGTACCTGTGTCGTGCTGCTTCCCAGTTAGCCTTGTTTGATGGGAGGGGAGTATTTCTAATTTGACTAGTTCTGTTGTGCTTGCCAATAGCTGGGTCGCCTCCAGGACCGTACAGTGTTCTGTCGACGTCCCGTCGATGGACAGCAGGTGATCTCCAGCGTGCAATGCTCCACATCTGGCAGAACACAGACAAGAGAGAACAAGGAAGGAAATACTTAAGTCTTGTTCATGCTCAGTTTGAGAACGACATGTAGGCTACGCGAGTTGGCCTGGTTAGCTTACATCACTATGCTGCAGAGCTGGTCACCCAGGTGTCTCATACTGTGGTTCACATTTTAAAAATGAACTTGCAGCAATGTGGGAATGAACAGTGACAGAATGTGACCCTCCACAGTCAGCCTGTACAGCCGAATGATGGTATTTTATTGCTTGATTCAGCCCTGACACAAAGTTCAAGTGCTTCATTTATATTTTAGAGCCAGACTGAAGCTCAGGGCAATATCCTGGCTGCTCCTGTCTGTGTGCACGCGTGCCTGTATGAGAGAGGATATATGTTTTGCATAAATGTGCAACCACTGCACATTTTCTAAGCCAAGGAAGGACACAGTGAGGCTGTTCAACCAAAATACTGATTCCATGTACAATGTCCTACACTCTTAGACATTTATGTCAATCCAGCAAATAACACACTATCACTGTGCTTTCAACAATTATGGTCTATGCTGCAACCCATTCAGTTTTATTGTACTGTATTTCTATTTTCAATTTCAATCTTATTTGTATAGCGCCAAATCATCAGAGGACACAAAGTCAGGTCTAGACCTTACTGTTATTAATATTATAGAGGAAAAACCCAACAATCCCCCCATGAGCAGCACTTGGCAACAGCGGGGAGGAAAAACTCCCTTTAACGAAGAAACCAAGAAACAAGTTCCACCGATCACAGATTGAAAAGGCAGCCTTTTTGTAACCTGAGAGAAAAACGATGCATAAAGCACTCCCCTCTGCTTTAAACCATGTATTAATTTAGAACATCTTTCCTCTGACATGTGCCAGCTGGACAGTTTGAAGTCAGATTTTAAAGAGTAAATGAAACTACCAGTGTGCATTTACACATACATACAGTACTGTGCATTTGTGAGCACGTACCTGTCCACCACGCTGCCAGGTTTAACCCGGTCGATGACAATCACCTGCTTGTTTCGATGATTGGCCAACGTCAGCGTGATACCCAGTGTCGCCCCTGGTGACTTGGCAATTTCCACTAATAGTGGGCCGGAGGCATTCGCCACTGTGTCTGATTGGTGAAAAAAGGATTTTCATTTGAATCATTTGAATGTTTATCGTGAGCTAATGCTTCTGTGTAGATGAGCTGCCAACAGTGAAACAGCAGAGAAACCTTTCAATGTCTATCTCACATCACAGTAAGTAGCCTGGTAAACAACCTTGAGGCAGAAAATCCTTGTGATGTGATGACCAGGGAATTATTTGCAATGCATTCTTGGTGAGTTAAATTGCAGCTTTACCCAGAAGAAGGCAGAGCTCAGCCTGAGGCAGCAGAAAATGCCGAGAAATCAACAAAAAGACAAATTCTTAATTTCACTGGTATTTCAGTCGAGAGATTTCTGCCTCAAGCTTCAATTCATATTCAAGTGTGTGTGTGTGTGTTTGCAGTCTCTCACCCATGATAGTGACATCGTACTCTATCTGGAACAGGGCTTCCTGGCCACACTGAGCCAACACACTGAGGGTGTCACTGTGGTTGGCGTTGTGCAGCGGCACGCCGTCCACACTGAGGAGTCGATCACCGGGACGCAACGTGCCCTCTCTGAAGACACACACGCGCGCGTACGCATCAGTTGCCGAAAATAAATGATTATAAAAGAGAATTCATAACCATTTCATTATTTGCTTTTAGAATTTCATCACCTTCCTTCTTTTCAACCATTCATGTCCAAACTTTCAATCCATCGTTTCAATTTTAATGTTGCTCTTGTCTTTGTGTTCTACTTGTTTCAAGCCACTCTCTCGCCCTCCTGTCACTACTCAGTCTTTCTCAGCTCATCCTCCTCATCGCTCTCATCTGTCTGATACTTCCAGTATGATTCCTGCTTAAGTTCAAATGGAAAACAAACACAGTGGAAAAGCACTAAGATGACAGAAGATTCTGTGTCATCTGCCTGCTACTGAAAATTACTGAGATGAAAATTCATGATCAGGTTTTATTTTAATTGTGGTAATTTTCAGAGAGTCCCTCTTTGTCAAAAACACAGACTGGAGGCTCACTGTTTCAGAAGCAGTCAATGGTACATATCAGGCAATTATTTATTTGCTCAAAAATGGAAATGCCATATTCTGAATTTTTCACGCTGGGGGTTACGTTAGAGAGCTGGCAGATGCTTTATGCATGATGCCGGGGCGCGAGTAATACGGAGCTGTCGTCATACCGGCCGGAAGCTGTGAAGTAGGATGCCAATAGCCTGGAAGCTTTTTAACAGCATCACACAAGCTGATCTGAAACCAGAAACCTTCATCACAGCAGAAAATGGGTTTGATGATAGAATCATCTTAGGAATTAAGTTTCACAAGAAACAAGTGCAGTCAAAAGTCTTGCTGACTACAAAATGAAAAGCTTTGCCCCAGTTCTACCTGGGGGTTCGGGTTGACAGAGCGACAGTGATTGCAGAGATGTGCAGCTCAGAGGAACCAATACCAATTACAATAAAAGGCTCAACAACAACAACACCTGTTATCTTAGCGGTCTGGGTGGACTAAACTGTGTTTTAGCATCTACTTTCCCTCGAAAGATTTCTCTAACTGAAGTTGTTGTTTGAAATAAACGGCATTAAGGCTTTCACTGACATTTAGGCTGCTTTCAGGCTCTCTCACTTTTTCTGTCTCTATTTCTGTTCCAATAATGATGCAATGAAAGCAGTTTTTGTGGTCCTGTCGAAAAAACCCCAAGGCTCGCTCACATTAAATTTAATTCCCACTGGATAATGCTAAAAAACGTAGGCACTCCTGGACTGTATGGTGCTGTGGATTAGCTTTCCTCCAACTGGCATATAAATGAGATCTAAAGCAGCATGAATATCTCATTCGTTTTCCTGGACTGACCCACATTTTCAGGACCATTTTCTCTAGAATGGTGTTAGATGAGCTGGAGGGCAAAATAACTCAATAGCAAATTAATCTTAGTCTTGTCACAGTCTATCAATCTGTGCATGAGCTTGTGGAAGTTTATTCAGCCTATGAACATTTGGGTGTATTTTAAATAATCTGTTTTGTGAACTTATGTACGTAAATAGGTTAATATACAGGTTGAGCAATTAGAATAAGACCACAGATTACATTAAACCCCTAGTTTTGGTAGATCTGCTATTAATTTTAACTGAAATATACACTGGATTACATTGATACACTTCTTTTACAAGCCTTAAAAATGGTGCTAAACAAGCATGAATTCACATATTTAGCAGGAACATGGTTGCTACTAGAATAAAAATAGCACAGTTCTGAAGTCGAGTGTCAAATATTTGTAGCAGCAAAGTGATCACAGAAGAGCGTTAGAGTTCATTTTTCCAGTCTTTACCTGTCTTTGCTGGAGTAACAGCACAGAAAGTCAACCAGCAGAAGAAAAGGAAACTTCTGTGATAACAACACAGACAGGGGATAAACTGAAGGAGAGCCTATCAACATGTCAGTATGCTCCAACACAAGCTTCGACGCTCCTCGTCACAGTTTCTTCAAGTCTGCTGCCATCAGTTGAAGGATGATATCTAAAAGATTTAGGCTCATTTCAGATGCACTTCAGTTCAGATTAGTGCTCGCGGCTGTGGCGTTTCACAGAGAACATGACAAACCACAACTGTACAAGTTTAAAGTTAGAATAGTGACAGTTTAATCTCCAAGTAAAAACACATCTCTAAGAAATAAATCCATGGCATCAGATTAAGTATTTTTAAAGCAGTTTTTAAAAGTATTAATTTTGTGTGTGTGCGCAAATTTGTTTTGGTCCTAAATCATATTAAACTATGTTGACAAAGACTGAGATCAGATTAACTTTGGACAAGGTACAATGCAGTCGTTTGCTCCAGTAACATTTTGCTCATGTTTTGTTTAGTTTAATTAAAAAAAAAAAAATAGAATTACTGCCTTGCACTTCTCCGCCAACCAGTCAAGCTGCAGTTTACATGCATGTCTGTCCAGAGTCATAATATATGTCACAAAGACTTAAGGAATTTAGTAAAAGCTATTAAATGTAGTTTTTGGGAAAATGCAAGATATCACTGTATTGACATGTACGATCCTAGACAATCATTCCCAGTGAGAAACATGCCATCTTCACTCAAAGACTGTTTTTTACAGAGGACTGACAGAAAACTCTGTCACATCAGGCAACAACAATCACCTGGAGCTGAACATCAGCACAACCAATGAGCTTGTGGTGGACTATCAGAGGAACCTGAGGCCCCCTGTACTGGTTGTCATCCAGGAAGCAGAGCAGTTCATCCTTGAATCCAATGAATGTTTGAGAAACTTCCTGCAGGTGTTCGTGACATATCACATTCATAAGAATGGAACAGACCGACTGCCAACAACATGCCCCCAGCCACAGCTGTAACCAGCGTGGAGGCAGAAAAACACTGTGTTGCATCTAAATGAGCAGCAATTTGTTGAACACATACAGTAATGTGTATACTGTGCTGTATGCTACACTACGTTTGGTTCAAATGAATGTGAATGTTTCTATGACATTAGCTTGAGGGCAACATAAACCTCCTGTGTCTCTTTATCTGATGGTCGCACTATAACATTGTCCGGTTTCTAAAAGCTCACCCAGCTAGCATTTTAACACTTTTCAACACTTTGACTCTGCCTTGCTGCATTATTTATTACATTTTGTGGCACTGCTTGTTTTCTAATTTGAGCGCAGGCCTCTTAGTTATTGTTCTGTCAGTCTTACATTAGTTCAAAATGTGTATTGTACCCTTTTCTGGTTTCATGGGTTCACGTAGAGTCTACTGCTCCAAAAGATGTGCAACAAGTTAAGATGGCCTCCTTAAACTCAGCAAGCAGGAAGTGGAGCAGACCAACTGTCTGTGTCCAAAGGTTTTTCTAAAAGGATTTCTGAATGATGATGTTACATTTTAGCTGTGCAAGAGCTTTCTCTGTTCCCCCAATGTTTCTGTGTAGGACAGCCACTGTATATGCCCTCCCCATGAGTAGTGACCACAGACGAAGCCTTACTGAAGTCTAATCCTATTTCCCTGCTACAGAAAACACAAATTTGACTTTCCTCCCTTTCTCACACCGTATTTATTCTGAGAATTGCCACAATGACTCGATACTTAAACACAATGATACTTAAACAGATGTTCAACCTCGCAATGAATCCAAAATTCATTCCAGATGTGCAGAATTCTTACTGGTAAAAAGCATGAGCGAAGAAAAATATCATATCTTGATGTATTTGTTATTATCAAAGTCAGTGTCGCAATTTTTTGTAATACACTTTTGTGGTCCGGCATTCAAGCTACTTTTAAAGAGCTGGTATGTATGATGGAAAAAGTAGTTTGTAAGATGGATTTAAAGAAATCTAAACAACTTTGGGTGAATAAAATGTCACAGATACCTCTAAAACGTACTCAATATTTCTTAAAGAAAAGGTCAAAGGGCCATAATACCACCTCTTTAAGGTGTTTCTGTGGAGACACTGCTGATTTCTACAGAACTTACACCAAGAAGAAGGTTTTTTTCTTGGAGGATTTCATAAACTGTAAATATCTAAGAAGTCATGCTGTAGAAGGCTGAATCTGTTAAACAGTTGCAAAGCTTTACTTTTATTTACCATATATGAAAATGTCATTTATCCTTAAACATGAAGGCTGAGACACAGGTGTTGACACCATTAAAGAGATATGGGGTGATTCATTCCACTGCAGCTAGCTGTCAACATACCAGTGACGTCACTGGGAACGCCACCATGTTAAGACTCCTAACTGGAACTGGCCATACATGTGTGCAGTGTATCTGGGTTTATTGTTGCATAAGCGTGCAGTTAGTGCTACCTGTCTGCAGGACCGCCCGGCCTGACGTAGGTGACCACTAGGGGTCGTGACTTGTGCCAGTCTTCATGGATACCACCTGTAGAGAAGAGCGGGGCAAAGCTGATCAAACTAAACACTGGACTTGTATGGTTATAAACCTCACTTCATCGGTTTATTTCTAATCAGTATGAAAATTACAAAAAAACCAAGGGTTACATTATGACCAGCAGTTTGTTCAAACCAAGACAAGTCCAAACAACAACATGGATGTTGTCTAGGTTCATGTTTCCTTGTTGTTTAAATGTGACCAAACCTCAGTCATTGAGGTGGCAGTTCAGAAAGGCCCTTCTCGTATTGCTGGTTAAAGTATGAGGGCATGACACTGACAAAAATAAATGCACCTACTTACCTACTACTCAACAAGCTTCCAGTTCATTTTCACTCTAAGCAGTGAAAAGAACTGAGCTGATAGCTTCCTAGAAGGCAGTGAATCAATTTCACATTTCTCCTACTTTTGTAGCTTAATTTAATTCACGTTTTAGTGCCGACACAAAGAACTGATGCAATGTTTCTATTTCACAACGCAAGAAATGGTGCTAGTGCAACACTCTTCATTTAATGACACCATTCCAGCATGGTGCAATGTCAGCCCAAACGTACAGTACAGCTACTGACTGCTTTTCTAATGGTTACCTCTCATGACGAAACCAAAGCTGTTCCCCTCTTTGTGCAAACAGATGTCGATTGTCTTTGATATAACCCCTGAGGTGCTGTCTGGCGCTTTTGGGGGGGGGGGCAGAGAGACAGATGTATTACTATTACAGAAAGAGAAAAGCAATACATTTGCTCACATTAACTGAATGTTTACATCACATCATTTGACACAGATACACACTAAAGTGTAACATAAATATAACTACAATTACAGCACTATAAAAGAACCTTTTATTTTACTTTGAATTGCACCTTGATCACAGTATGGATGTCAACCACAGCGTTAATTTGGGATGCTTATGGTTTCCTTTACTGTTGTTACTGTGGCTACTGTAAGGGGCTGCTTTGTGCTCTTTGTTTTGCCAGGTTTTCAGATCAGGTAAACTGTGGCGTTACCAAGCATTGCTGGATGGCGCTGCACTGCGTTTGATGACACCGTCTATTAACTGCAGCAAAATGCAGGAGGACCTCTGTTTTAGTGGTCTCATTGAAAAATCAGAGCGAGCTGCATTTTTCCAGTCCAGTATCCTTGGAATTCTAAATGTATTGAATGATTCCAATCTTCCAATTTCCATCCAGTGCCAAGGGAATGTACTGAATGATTCTGCATCTTCCAATTTCCATCCAGTGCCAAGGTTTAGTGCTAATGCATAAGAAGTACAAGTGCGGAGGTCTGGGTGGGGGATGGGCGCGTAGTGAGTCTGACTGGAGATGTGACTACTGTCACAGACCTGGAATTAAAGTACATCTGTCTCTCTTTAAACGAGTGTTTAGTTGTCCTCTCCATACAGTAAATCAGTTTATTTGCCAGATCCTAAATCTTTTCCTAGCTTTAATTATTATGTAGTCACCATGCACATGTGGTAGAAATATAAAAATGCTGGTATTAGATAAACAAAAATTAAAAAACGTCTTTGAATGACACCAGCATTTTGCAGAACTGCCAGTAGGGTTGTGTTAAATTTTTATGTTAAACCAATATGTACCTGTCGGGGGCAGTTCATACTCCACCTCCAGCAGAACTCGCTCTCCTACATTTTTCAATAAGCTGATGATCTCTTCATGCCGCAGTTTGGTCAAATTGATGCCATTCACCGACTTGATGTAATCACCAACGTTCAGCTGGTCACTCCTGCTCAAAAAAGTGGTCAGAGCGTGTAAGAGCTGTGTTAAAACAATTAAATGTACAGGATTTTACATATGTGGCAGTTATACTTTAAATCTTGTTTATTCCTTGTGACCTGAAAATTATTTCTCTCTTCTTCTTCGTTAGTGCCTGTGCTTCACCCACCTGGCCGCCAGCCCCCCAGGCCGTAAGTTTGAGACCCGCGGTTTCCCGTCCTTGTCTGTACCTCCTGAGATGGTGAGGCCCAATGTACTGCCTTCTTTCTTCACCAGCTCCACCATGGTCACCCCCCGCAGAGCTTCTAACCAAAAGCACACAAAGACAAATACACATACACAGAACAGGCAAAGAGAAGGACGTGACCCCCCCCAACCCACACACAGATATGTACAGAAACATATACACACACAAATACAGCAGAGAGATGAGTGTTTAGTGGCTGTCCTCTGTCCATTCTGATTCCTGGATTAGAGCGAAGCTGAGATACCAGACATACAAGCCAAAAGACGTTTGTTGCTGTGTGTCCTTGAGTGAGCCACTGATCTTGTCTGTTCATTACTGTATAAAAGAGTCAGCTGATATGACAACAATGTAAATGTGAACTTCTGATAAGCTCTGATAAGCATGAGATGATGAGAACTAACAAAGCCTCATTATTTCTTGCAGTCAATCCAATTGAGTAGTTCCAGGCAGGTGTGAAAAAGCCTTGAAATGTTAAAGCACATCGTGAATAACAGCAAATATGTACGACAGTTACAAACTCTTTAAAGAAAATGATGCTACTTAAATGTGCATTAACTAAGAATTTACACAGTCTGATAAAGTGAAAATGGGACAGGACATGTCAAGGTCACAGGTCAAAGTGTTTGTCATATGCACAGTTAGGAAACGTGTTTCCCTGTACAATGAAATTCTTACTTTGCCGTCCACATGAATGCCACAAAATACAAGTGAAATATAAAGTAGATGAGCAATAACACAAATCTAAGGCACTTTAAAGAAACAATGTAACACAAGCCTCTGCTGAACACTGAGGGCAATTCTCTGAGGACTGTGATAAGGATCAAGGAAAGGTTGCACCACTGGCTAATTCAACTGGAGGACAAAAAGCATCTATTATGCAGAGCTACAATATATTCCCCAAACACTTAATTAAACTACTCTTTAAACGAAGGCATCACAATGTTCAGAAGTTTCACACAACCTCTTTTCTAACAGCTATCGAGTGCAACAGGGCAGGTATTCCCAGGCTGAGTCGAGGCTCGATGGAGTAAACAACTTAATGGGTTGACTTGGGAACAACGCTGCAGAGCTGCACGGTTCACTTCATCTTCATCCTTCTGCTGCTTTGAAGTTAAGAGTTCATGACAAAAGGTCCATGACTATGTGCACGGCTGTCTGACACTTCAGAATATAATCAGGTCAGGTTGACCATCAACCAGCCCTTGGCTGTTAGCTGCAGTAATAACTGTAATAATAGCTACTAGCAGTAATAAACAATGGAAAGGACAACTTACAACCGACTGAACTGCAAACTGTGCTCTTCTGCTTATATGGTGAACTTGTTACTGCACATGACAGCAGACTTGTATCAGTTTGAGAGTAAGAGAAACTGTAGTTTCTATTTCTTTAAAATGATGAAATATACTCTTCCACTTCTGAGAGTTGAACAAGATCAGGACTGTGGTTAGGTTTAGGCTTTGGTTGTGTTTGGTATGATGTTAACTAAAAATTGTTGCTGATTAAAGGCTAAATCCTAATTCCCTTAGTTGCATCCACATTTCTCCCACTTATGTTTTTTCTGTATGTCTTAGTCCCAACCAGATAAGATGCAAGAAGAGAGGAATCAAGGAAACATTTCCTTTCCTCCAGTCCTTCATCTGAAGTGTCCAATCACCAGTTTATTTCTGATAAAGGGACGCGTCTCTCAACCAAAGACTTCTGTGAAGGATGCTCTCATATATTCTTGCTCACGGCTCCTTGAGCAACCTCCTCATTTCTCAATCCTCAGTGCGAGAATAAGCGCTCTGAGACATCCTGCAAGATGGCAGACCGGATCAACCTTTGGCTTAAGTAAGGACAGAAGAGCCATCAAATAAGGGAACTGAGATTTAGCCAGAGTTTAGAAAGTCCCAGACTGCAGGCCAGTACACAGCTTCCTGTGCCTGTCACTGAGATGAATGAGCAGCACTGCAGGATGGACTGTGCCACTTTGAACTGTGGCTGTCTCATTTATTTACAAACCAAAATGTATGCCAAAACTCTGAAAAATACTGAAACACAAAAACCCTATTTGAAGTAAATACTGTATTCCAACAATCTAAAATGCATGTCATGAAGGTAGTAGGAAAGCAGAGCAACCAGGGTTTGGAATGAGCATGTGGATAAAGATTCTAGTTAAAATATTAGACAGAGGTGTTAGGGAATGAATATCAGTGCTGCAATTATGACCTAAGTAATAAAAACATAGAGATTGCAAAAAATAAAAAAAAAGTAATAAAAACATAGAGATTGCAAAATAGGCACAAAACATCTGTGTGGTGATAATTTCATTCATTAGTACCGTACAAAGCAAACCTGGGAATCTCTGTGTTTACGTAAAGGTTAAGGGTTTTCATCTGAAGTGGCCAAGAGGATCTCTGTGGCACAGCAAGCTGGAGCAGACATAGCAAGTCAACTAAAACCTCTGGGCTGGGCTGACAGAGCTGTCTGTATTTATATCATCACCATTTATAATACACCCACACATTTGTTTTTATTCCTAGTGAGGACTTTACACTGTCTTAGTCGTTTTCTGGAAACCTACCCTAACCTTTTTCTAACACTTAACCTAACATCTAACCAAGTTTTCACCTTAAAATCAAATCCTTTACATGTTGGGGACGAGCATCTGAGTCTCCAGGCCAATTCTCCACAATATGAGTAAACAGGCTTTGTTAATACCAAGAGCACACACACACACACACACACACACACTCACACAGGCGAGCTGGAGCTTTGGTATGATAGAAGGTGAGATTAGGTAAATCCCTCTGGTGACACTCAGGATCAGTGAGGTGCTTCACACCACAGTTATCTCTGATAGGTCTTACAACAGACGCACATTCACACAGACACACACACACACACACATTATCTGCAGAAAGAAAACTCATTCCTTCATTAGTCTTTGCACTGTGCACATTTGCAGAAAAGCACCACAGCTTTCACACTTGTAGTTTCACGCTGTGAACCTCTTCTGAACTGAATCCATCATAAAATGCGATTTTCCCCCAGAGACGCAGAAATGACTATGTTGGAATTCATAAAACATTATCCACCACTTTATTTTGATGCTTAGAGAACACAGCTACGAGGATATTATTATACTACACAAAAATAAAATCATGCAATTATTTCCTTTATGTAGACAGAGAAGTGAGTAAAGCTATTTTACATCTAATAAAGAAAAAGGAAATCATATGGAAAACGTGTCTCTGACACACACGTACCCTCAGATACATGTTTATGAAGTCTACTCAAATAACAGCAACAAGGAAACACTGAGTGTCAACAGTGATGTGGCTGGAAAGTGAATGACACAAATGCTCGGTTGTATGTCTATGAAACAAAGGAGCGCTGGAAATGAGCACGGAGCTGAGTTACATTACTGATAAAGAGAAGTAGTGTTAGGGTGATTTTCATTTTTAGATAGAAATGAATATAATTAGTTAGGGTTTTTATTATATAGCTTACATAAGTTTATATATATATTAATCTGACAGTTGTGTTTATGTTTATGTAGTTACATATCCACATATCACCCTATGTGTTCACTGAATCACTGGTCAGTATTTACTGTGTTAGCCAACTGGAGCACTGTTTAACATCAAGGGGACTGGTTCACTAAAACACTGAAATCTCATTAGATTTACAGCTTTAGCAAAGAGGGTCCACAGATACTTTATTACCGCTACCTGGCTAATGGGCCGGGGGAGCTAGTTGAAATAGAGATTAGATAAGAGGAAGCAATATACACACACAGGCAGAGCAGTTCCTTGGAAACAAAGGAAGACATAAGTGTCTATGTAGGAATTAAGACAGTATAGGAATTCCTCCTTTTTTAGGGCGCTGTCCACGACCATTGGGGCAGAGAGGATGATTGGAGGATGGACGGACTGAAGGACCAATCTTGGGAGAGTTAAGTTTAAACCACAACTTCTCCCCAACAGTTTTGGACTAATCAGATAGTAACATCTTTTCATACAAATATTGTATACCGCCAAGTTGGAGTCAGTCTTTTCTGTTTTTCCTAAACAGTGAAGATCCATGTGCACATGATAATTTTGATACGTTAATGCATAATAAATTTCACACTGTGAGATTAAAGTATATAAACTTATGTGGTGCCAGATTTTCCTGAGCCACATTATGAGAAAAGATCACTGGATGCTTCAGTGCGGTGATGCTAAAAAGAGGCAGCACATACTGTACCTGGTATACTGTGTCTTCTTGAGGCCATGCTGTGTTCAGGTCCAGAGATGTCTTTTGTTTTTCCATATGGCCCATCATCTAGGAAGAAAAGAGACAGACACTTTCAATATTTCTGCACTGAGAAAACTAAAAATAAATTTGGCATATCAAACACCAGGCTTTGGGTGTAAACAACTCGACTACTGAGGGCTTAGCTTTAGGCTGTTGAGGTGAATAGATACTCAAAACAAATAACTGAGGAAAGCAGAAGGAAGGAATAGAAGAAAGTCATTAAAGCTGTAGATACGAGTTGCAGATTAATTGTGTTCATCTACGCCTCAGGCTGGATGGCAACACAACAGAAGTGAAAGATGTGTGAGGACTCTGAAGGGGCACAAGTTGGGATTACAGTCATTTTTACCAAATAAACAAACTCAGTAAGAACAAACAGCTTTCTATCTGACCTTAACAGTCTCCTCTCAAACACCAGGCTTTGGGTGTAAACAACTCGACTACTGAGGGCTTAGCTTTAGGCTGTTGAGGTGAATAGATACTCAAAACAAATAACTGAGGAAAGCAGAAGGAAGGAATAGAAGAAAGTCATTAAAGCTGTAGATACGAGTTGCAGATTAATTGTGTTCATCTACGCCTCAGGCTGGATGGCAACACAACAGAAGTGAAAGATGTGTGAGGACTCTGAAGGGGCACAAGTTGGGATTACAGTCATTTTTACCAAATAAACAAACTCAGTAAGAACCTGCTCCACACTGACACCTTTACATGCTTACTCTCTGGAAACTTCTACGACTTGGCCAGACAGTGTTCTATCATTGTTATATGTCACAGAGGTGAACAGATGTCCTGTTTTATAGTTTCTGTAGAGGCTTCCTGGCAGAGACCGCATGTTAATATTTGATAAGTTACACATCAAGCTCTACTCATATCTCCACAGGTGTCTACACGGCCCACCAGCCAATCAATCAATCAATCAATCAAGGACAAATTGGAAATGGATGGAGTCCCAGTGGCAAACCAATAGAAAACAGCCATGCAGGTAATCAATGATTTAAAATATAATATATAAATGTCCACTGGAGTTGAAAGTAACACAACATTGCATTAAATACCACTGAAAAAAAATACCATTACTTTCTTTGCCTGCAGGTGGCAGTATTGACCCACTTGTCAAAACTGCTGCTTCTGTTTTTACTGTAGTGTAAGTTGGTGTGACTGACAAAAACACGAGCTTTTTGGACACACTGCCATGCAGCAGTGTGGTAGTTTTAGTTTTGCAGCTGTGGAGCTGTAGCTTCAGCCCAACAGCGCCACCTACATGAAAGAAAAGTAACAGCAGCAGCTGTTTCTTCACTGTAGATGATGCTCATGTAAGAAAGACAACAGCTTCTGGTATGTTGACATGGCAGCAACCTTCAGTGTGCAGTAAGAGTCGTTTCTTTTATTTGTTTATTCTAGGGAATAAAAAAAGCAATGTAAAAAATGGGAGGTAAAAAGAAAACATTACAGGAGACAAGAAATTAACAGCGGCTGATAAAGACTGACTGACTTTAATGTCCATATTTGAGGCCAGTGTGATATAATGTTAATCAATTTTCCCAAAATAATTGAGCAAACAATTACTAGTGTAAAATGTTATTCCTTTTCTTGTCTGTAGGGGGCTCTATTGATATCATATCCACTTTTGTAGGATTAAACTAGCGCTTAACTTAATAAGTGTCGAGCTCATTTTTGCTATTATAGTTTTCAGGGAGTCACAAGCAGATTTTCTTTAAGCACTCTGAGATTCTTTGTACATATTCTAAGGTGTCATCAATGATATATGAAGGATAAATAAGTGTTTTGCTAACCCTGTAACTCAGTTTGACAGCAGCTGTGTCAGTGGAGCTGAAGCTGTTGTTGTGGCTCTGAGGGGAGAGGATGTGTCCTACTTTACAACCTCCGCCTTCACCAAAGCGGTGGGATAAGTTTAACAATTCCTATGCCAATTCTCCACAACCCACGTACCTTATTCCAGAAGTGTAATTAAGTTCCATTATACTAAGGGACAATTACACCACAAATTAACATAAGTGTCTCTGCTAAACCTGCAGAATAAATATGTTTTTAATGCTTTTCAGCACCTGAAGCAGAATTTTAAACCAGCTTACTATCATCAACAAAGCAAAGCAGTTGGAAAGGATTTTAATACGCCCAGAGTCCTGCAAATTCCTTTATCTCGTTTATCTCGTGTTTTTAATTCTTCTTTAAATTACATTCACACTCTGTTCTGCAAAACAGCCTTCGAGTCTCAATTTCACTGTAGCAAAGAAAGAAACCGCAATAGTTAGTTTATTTTCAGCTACTGATGGAAGCTCCTGTATGACATACATACTTCAGGATACTGCCACCAGGCCTAAGTAATGGTTAATTATTTTATACTTCAAAGTTAAAGCCTAGGCAGTTGGTCAATGGGTGGTAGTGTTGCCACACAGCTTATTCAGTTCCTCATTCATACTGTGATAGCATCTAATTGTGTTTGACGTGATGGAGAAAGAAGTGTTTATCCGTCCATCCCTGGACAATTTCACCAGTGTTGTGGCTTTGGTGAAAGCTCTGCAATGATTTAATGCTCTGAACCTGGAGCTTCTCTATCAACTCTACTTTCAGACTTTGTTTATTCATAAATTATGTCATAATATCTAGTCAACCATCTTTCTTCGCATGTTCCATTAACGTATTGGCTGGTGGAGGCTGCTCTTTAAATATTTTTGTGATCCTGCCATTGTGTCTTAACTACACATTTTACAATCTAAATAAAACTTCGACAGTGTTCCTTTCAGAGGAGCTTGGTTTGGTGGCAACATTTGTAAATATTCAAAGCAAACCTTTTCACTTGGTTACTGTGCGAGTACCTGCACTTCAAAACTAAATGTATAATTAGAAATTAAATTTTCAAGACTGACACAGATTTGACATCGGTAGACAGAGGTGCGACACAGTGTTAAACGAAAACCAAATCATTTCTACCTTCTTCATCAGCCTTTTGAATGGTCACACTTCTGCATCCTCTACCAGCAACATTAGATGAAGCGCTTCACATACAACCAGTAGTTTACCATCATCCATGAACCCCAGGTATACAAAGTTCTTTCCCAGTAGCAGCTTCCATGAATGGCACATTCTCCTGCCCTCTAATGATTTTGAAATATGCAACACTTTCCCACTGGTAATGCTTAGAAATCTGTTCCCATCCCAGCAGTGACAGTGAAAAGGAGGCCATTGTTGTTGTGTCTCGGAGCTTAGCGATCTCCACAGAGGTGTAATAACTTTAACCATTCAGAAGTTGTAGATTCAATTTTTCTTTAAACTGCTTTCATAAGTTAGCTGGCTGGCTGCTTTCCTGCTGCGGGGCTGTCACAGGCATAATGGACCCCAAAGGCTGCTCATCAGCACACAAACACTCACAGAAACACATACACATAAACTAACAGGGCCCTCCGGCAGCAGAAAGTGATGCATATTCAAAAGGATTTAGGCACCAAATGTACACCTGCACACGCAAATACACAAAACAGAAAGTGTGTCTACAAATACAAGTCCTACAGTAACTTGTGCACACACAGAGATATAAAGAAAGCTTCAGGCAACTTGGCCATGGCTGCCTTTCTGACTGGATGCAAGACAAACTGTTTTAGTCATAACTTTTTCCTCCAGTAGGATGAAGCCTCAGCTCTCGCGCTACAAACCCACAAATCTCTCGACCTTTGGTGGCTGAGGTATCAGCTAACTGCAAGCACATTTGTCACAACAGGCATTTAGAAGCATAACACGTGATTTGTTTGTCCTAACAGTGTTTTTGAATGGATATACACATCAGCTTCACTCAGAAACGTTTTATTTTTAAGACCTCTTGCTTTTCTCTCTAACTGTCTGATAAATTTGCATCTCCTGTTGAATAACTTGAATGTGATTAAGCTAATGACTGCTGGTGCTGTCAGCTTACTGAACAGATTGAGTTATAGGCCAGGTTTTCCTCCTGCAGAAGGAGCACTGGCATTATGCTAACAGCCTGAGCATTTTTTCAAGAGGAGATGATAACGACCAGCATGTGTAAGGCAAATTTCAAAGACAAATGGATGAATGTCAAGTCATTTCTGAACAACTTTCAAAGCTCAGATTCATCACTTAGTAACAGTGGTGATGGTATCGCCGTTACCAAGTGAACAAATCATGTTTTGACATTAAAACTAATGAAATTTCATAATGTCTTATTTATTTAATACTGAACATTTTGGAGTTCTGCACAGGTCTGCCTTTTGTACCTTTCTTTTTTGTATCTGCTTAGTCCAGATACACCCATTATCAGGCCAGTAAGACCAGCAGTGGGCATTTGCAGATTTACTTATTACCCAGAAGAATACACACTGATAATAACTTCTCTCTGTTGGAAAAGAAATGCGGAGAGGATCACTGCAGACCCCTCACAGCCGGGACATAATCGGTTCGAACTCCTCCCCTCTGGACGGCGCTACAGGTCACTGTGTGCCAAGACAACCAGGCACAGGGACAGTCACTCTAATTAACACTTGACCCATGACAGTATGACTGGACAATAACCCTCAGTGCAATACCTGTAAATATACCGTGTACAGATTATACAGATCCGTACAGGTCTCTATTTTTATTCCAAATTTATCTCATTTCACAATGAGCATTCCTCGTCTGTCTGCATTGTTTACTGCCTGTTTGTACTGCCTATTTTGCATTGTTTGCACTGTTTGTTGCTGATGATACTGCTTTTGCTATCTTACACAGCCTTATGCTGGTTTACTGTTTACTTGCCCCTTGCCATGGGGATATGTACATGCACACTGAGAGCCGATGTACCAGAGTCAAATTCCTCGTGTGTCCGACACACCTGGACAATAAAGCTGATTCAGATTCAGATTCAGATTCAGATTCAGCTGTCCAGCAGACACACAGCACGCTGTTTTCAGTCCTTGTGGGGACTTTACATTGACTTACATTCATTTCCTGTAGACTTATCCTATCCTTAACCAGAACCACTACTTGCCTAACACCTAACCTTAAACCATGTTGCC